TTTTAAATAAAAGACTTTGAACACGATAATGATTTTTTAATAGACAAACATTACTCTCTTCGGAAGAGAGATGGGCGACAAAACGTTCTCTTGCCCGTCGTTCCGTAGAGTCCTACAGTGGACTCTGACGTTCCGTAGCGTCTGAAGGATCCTGGGCTCCTACTCTCGCACTTCGGGCGCCCCGGGCTGGCCACCGTCCTTACACAGCTGCTCGGCGGGTTGGCCTACCCAGAGCACAGCAGGCGCTACCATTGGCGGCGTTGTCTGCCGTGGGGACAATGGGTCCAATTGGCACATCAGCCCAGACCTTGCGAGGATGGGGATGGGGCAAAATGACACAAACACCCTGCGAGCTCTAATTTAACGCCAATGAGCCCCCTCAACGCTGGCTTGTTGGCTGGACGATCCCACAGCCACATGAAAGGTGGCAACAGCGCAAGCGCACCCAGCAGAAGACGCCGGACGTGGGCGAGGCGCTGTTGTTGTAGTAGTGGTAGCGTAAATATTAGTGTTTATCCTTTCAGCTATGGGAGCGGATTAGCTCCTCTCTCAATTTTAGGGCGAGAATGAGTTCTACGTCACTTCAAACAGTTGCCGAGGAGTACTTCCACTCACTCAACCCGATCGCTGAAAGAATTTCTGCCGATGTATCATCCACGAAAGATGCGTACGAAGAGCTATGGAACACCCTCAGTGCCGAGGAGCAGAGACAGGTTATCGACGAGACTATAATCTACCCGGAGGCTGTCCTAAAATATGCGTTCGAAGATTCTTTGGAGAGACCAGAATTTTCGCCAAGACTCAACATTCAAACTGGTGGGAAATATATTATTGACGATGAAGGCAGTAAAGGATCGGTAAGTTAGGTTTGAGCCTACTGTTTCGGTCAAGGTTTTTCATGTCTGAACCAATGTCACCATGTATGTTATAATTTTTCCGCAGGGACTTACTTGGAGGGACGAGCATTCTGCTCCATTCTCTTGGCTTACACAGAGCCAGCTGAATTTGAGTTTGATGGGTGATAAGTCAGCCATACTTAATGCTTCTCCACCTCAGGTAAAGCCAAGGTTGGCTCCATTTCGTAGCCCTCATACTCAACCTAAAGCAGAGAATGGTGTGAAAGCAAATGGAAACAAAATTGAAAATAGTACGGATTTAAGCAAAAACTGCACTGGCAATATAGAATCATTTATTGATCCCCCAAGGGTTGTTCTTGGAGGATCAGCTGGTAATACAGCCAAATTAGCTTCTGTTATTGGTTCCAAATTGAAATTTCCTGCTACAGGGAAAGGAAATGGTGCTCAAAGCTCAAATGGAACAAGTAACAACAGTTCTCAACCCGTGGAAGATGCACAAAGTCCTAGTCTTTTAAGTAAGCTTAAAAGTAAAACTGGAATCCTAAAAATTCCAGCGTCATTGAAAAATGTTGCTAATGGGAAAGGTTCAACAGAAAATAATTCCAGAAACAAGAATGGCGATTCTGACAGAGAAAACCTTGTTCAAGGGAAAAATGTTATTAATGTGTTACCTGCTAAACACAATAAGGCACCTGCCCCAAAGCCTCCAGTTGCAAAGCCTAAAACACCACCTCCACCTCCTCCATCCAAGCGTAAATCTTCTTGTGAAGGAGTGGCAGCTATGGATCCTGAACGCATGGCACTGCTTGGGGACAGCTGGAGCTCTGAGCTTTCAGCTGCTCAGTCATCAAAGTCGGCAACCATGAAATCAGCAGCCGAATCCCTAGCGATGGCAACTGATTCTGCATCGGACATGGAAACTGCATCAACATCTGTCCGTAGCCCATCTGTCACTTCCCCACCCCGTGAAACTGCTCCTGATTTCATGGAACCTATTACTGATAATATTCCCAAGACTGGCTTTGAGTTCTTAGATAACTGGTAAAGTTTTCCGTTTCCCATGTTTTGTAAAGAAGTTATTTATGATGTATTTACTCAAATATAAAGTTAAATTATAAGGTCCAATTATCTCAGCAGTGTTGATTCTAGCATTCATGTGCAGGGTGTCTATCTTCCATCATTTTAATTGTATTAAGTTATTGATCTGATCTGGTCCTACAACTATTTTTTTGTGATAATATTCATGTCTCAAACTACCTAGGAATATGAAGCAAAAGCTATGGTTATTACTTGAGTTTGGTGCTTCCTGGTATGCTTACTTTTTAGAATTGCCTTTTCATTATTTATTATTACACTCATCTAAATGACTCGCTCTTTCCAGTTCCGCATAACTTATGCAGGTAACATTAAATGTAAAGTATTATTGAAGCTTTGACTTAGACTGGTACTTTTCAAATACTGGCATTTTGAAATATACAATTAAAGAGACATTGAGAAGATTGGAAATTTAGTGTTTATCTATCGGAGGTCGTACGAGCTCAATTTGTCTGTTTTTATTTTTGATGGTATCATTCATGAATAATTTATTTTGTAAAATATTCTAATGTGTGTCCATTCCTTGATTTTGCTCTTTGTTTCAGTGGTGGGTTTTTAATATTTTGAGTATGACTGAATGTTGCAATGACAGTTTGAACTCATATACTGGCCTCATGCCAGGATAATGTGATGTCTAGCTTGTTTTTGTAACTAGACTGAAACCACAGAAGCTAATAGCTTTCAAGTCAATTGTATGTTTGCTTTCAATATAACCTAGTAGAAAATACACTATGCTTTTAACCATGTTTCTGTGTATACAATTTATTATAAGTGGTAGCTGCATATATCTGTACTATCTCTAAATGCTTTTCTTAGTAGTGGAAATTTCCTTCAACTTTAGCTTTGCTGAACTCATTAATTGTTCCTGTGATTGTTTCTGTGTAATCTCATCTTTCCTTCAAGTACTTTTTCCTATTGATGAGGTATGCAATAAAGCTCCTATTGTTGTAAGGAAAGATCTATTCTACTTTATAGTAAAATAGATTACTTTCTTAAGCGACAAGTGTCATTAGAGCCAAAGACAAATATTTGATATTACTATGGTATACACTGTAATTTTCATAAACTTGAGGAATAAGCCAAACTGCTGAATTGTAGCTGACAATGGGCTTCCTTTGGCTGGAAGGTTGATTACAGACATTTGATATAAATTTGAAATTCCATTGAACCCCTTTTTTCCACTTTTGTATGTTATTTTTTATAAAACAAAAGACTTGGTTAGATTTTGTATCAATATTGTTCCTCTCATGTGCCATTGTTTAATAAGAGGTGGCCAAAAGGGCATTGTACAAAGATCTCTAAGATCACATTATGATGAGACCAGAGTGTACCTTCCATGATCTGATGGCACATCTAAACTGATAGTTAAAAAGAAGCTGTGTTCTACATCATGAGTATGAATTTTGAAGAGTTTTCTTGGAATGAGTTTAGCAATACATAGGGTTAAAACTTGTAAGTAAAGTGCTGTTAACATATCAATTTCAGGTGTCACCAATTATCATAAATTGTATTGAGAATTTATAATAAATGTTTTAAAAAATAATAATAAGTTGTGCCTCCAAAGAACATCTTCCTAAGATACCTGGTTCAAATCAATATTAATAAAACATCTTACATAACTTTAAAAAATTTATTTGTAACATTAATTATGTACAACATACAGCACACTGCTCAGACTGCAGGTATTACAGCAGTTCTCCAGAATTTTCAAAGAACTTGGTCATGAAACTTGTTATGAAAATTAAAAATTTACCATTCTGATAAATCCACATCTTCTACAACATCATCCGCCCCATCATCACTAACGTCTTCAGATAACTTGGGTCTTTTCTGACTAGGCTGTCCCTTAGACTTCTTACCACGCTTGCCACGAGCTTTCTTAGGTGAATCATCATTACCAAAGCCAATATCAGAATCTGAATCATCTGAGGGCAGAAGTTCAACCGGTCCCTCTGCTGTCTTTTTCTTTTTAGGTCTAACTATTTTGGGTAGATTCTCACTGATATCTATTGAATCTTTTTTAAGCTTTGTTTGCTTGGCACTGTTCATTTTTTTCCAAGATGTAAAGAATACTCCAAGAGGGGTTCCTTTAACTTTGACAGCGGTTTCCCAATCTTGTACAGCCTTCAAATCTGATAAGTTAATTGCTACATTTTTTCTTTCGTTTTCAATAAACTTGATATTTTCTTCTACTTTCTCTAAAATTTGTTTTAACTTTCTGGCATAATTGGCTACTTTACAGTTTTTAAGAAAATGTCTCACTCCAACAACAACTGGTAGTGCTAAGTCAGGGAAGGCAATTGAATGTGCTTCATTAGTCAAAGACTCAAGCATCAAGCTGTAAATATTTTCAATCACAGCATCTTTGAAGCCATTTTCTTGTTGCTGGGCTTTACTGAGACGTAAGATACAACTGAAGTCCATAGGTTTCATTGATACCTGAAAAAAAAAAAAAAAAGAGATGTATAAGTAAAACTGCATAAATTTTGGAAATACATCTGTGCTAAGAAAAAGTAATTGTTTACCTTGCTATGTTTTTTGTTGATGTTATAGGAGTTGAGAATTTCTAGAAGGAATGGCAGAACTGGTATAAATGTTCCAGAGCTTCTTGAGAGGTTGATAAGGATTTGAGCACAGTGGAATCTCAGTGGGTAATACTGAGCCGTTGGTACAAGTTTGATTGCCCCCACTGTTACTTGTACCACTGGGTAGAGAAGAGGTTGCAAAGCTTGTTTACTTGAAGCTCCAAGTAACTCTCCCCATAATGCTAAAGATGAAATAAACTGCCAGTTATATACAGCTTGAGTTGATTCTTTCTTCTGCAAGGTGATTGCATTCCGCAAATGAATAGCCAATTGACGAATGTACAAAAAAGCATGGTGGTAAGAAACATTTTCATCTAAAAGAAAAATTTCTGTCAGGGATCTTCTCATGAAATTTATACCAGGAAGAGTATTTGGTGACACAAATTTGGTGTTTTGAACATATGCCATATACATATGACGCAAAACTTGATCAAGTAGCGTCTTCTGTTGGATGGTTGTGGCTCTCAAAATACACATAAAAGCTACTACTCGCACAGTTTCATCACCAGTAGACCAAAGAGATATCATTCTTTTCAAGAAATGTTTGGTGACATTGGGAAAACAGATGATGAAGGGAGTCATTTGATGCACATGTTTCAAGACAATAGTTGTAATGTTTACAGACGCAATACCACCCAAAAGTTGAAGGAGGTCAGCTGAGTAGGATCTGATGAGAGTTTTTACTTTAATCCAGCGCTTACATTTGACTGGGTTGGTGTAAGATAGGGAAGCAGAAGTAAGATTGAGATATTTACGAAGTGCAGGCAATAAGTCCAGTACACACATCTGAACTACTGCATTGAAAACAGCACCACCTTCCACTTTGAACACACATGCTGAGCGCTCTGCCTCAGGAGCAACTCTCTGAAGAGCAGCATGAAACGCCTGAACAACATCACTAATAGTTTGCACACATTTTTCATTCTGCAAACTTTGACGCCATTTCTCAATCATTTTCAGTGTCACCACACCACTCTTCCTCTGAGAAGGCATCCCATCCTCTCCTTCAAAGTCGCTCTCGTCACTGTTAACTTCAAGTTTAGAAGGAGGCTTGTGGACCAAGCCTTCTTCATCATCATTGGCGTCGTCATCATCGTCACCTTCACCTTTCTCGGCCTCAGAGTCTTCACTGTCCGAAGCATTAAACTGTAGTAACTTTTTGTCATTTTCCTCTAAATATTTGTAGAATTCTGGGTCAATGTCTTTCAGCTTGTGAAGCGATTTCTTGTGCTTGACAGCTATATCTCCTTTTACTTCTTCGTCACTGCTAGCATCGTCCAGGCCATCATCATCATCTCCAGACTCAAAGTTCTCTTCACCAGACTCATCATCCGCCTCCTCTTCCTCACCAGACTCATCATCTTCCTCTTCTTCACCAGACTCAACATCCTCCTCCTCTTCACCATTTTCATCATCAACCTCCTCCTCTTCACCTGACTCCTCCTCTTCTCCAGACTCTTCATCATCACCTGATTCTTCCTCTTCACCTGACTCTCCAGACTCCTCATCCTCCTCACTTTCAGATCCAAGGTGCCCGTTACCGTTCAAGACGCCGTTCTTGGCTTTTGCTACTTTTGCATCATTCACAGAATCCTGCTCGTCGCCTGAACCGCTATCACTTCCACTGTCACCGAAACTATTCATAAAGTCGTCGACGGACATATCTTTGAGCTTTGTTGGTTTCTTTGCTCCGTTGGCTACTACTTTAGGAGCATTTTTCTTCATTTTCATGTCTTTATGCGAAAAGTAAACAGAAGATATCTCTCAGAAGCTGGAGCGAGACGTGCATGCGGACAGCGTGTCTTGTAGGTTATGTGGTTGTGGCGAATAATAGTCTTTGGTAGAGATCTGACCGGATATATCTGAAATCGTGATACAAGTTCCGGTCCGTTCTCTAAAAAATCTTTGCGGATGTGAAATTTCTCATACTTTTCATATTTAAAATTTGGCGGTACTACTGAACTGACCTAACTTCCGGTCAAGGTTTTGTTGTGTTTTGTTTTGTGACCGGAGTGTAAATAGTGTTTGGACATTCGTCTGGTCTGCAATTCAAAATTCGAACGAATTGCATTCAATTACGTTTGGATTTAGGATGTGATACCAATGGATAGGTACGTCGTTTAATGCACTTAACAGTTTGCTACCTATGCAAAATCTAAGGAAATGGTGTGCTTTAGACCTGGGTGTTTTGCTTTATTTACCTCCTGAAACACTAATAGGTTATAAAAGATTTTAGTAAATATTCTCTTATTATAATGAATTGTAATGGTATTTCTCCTTTCAATTACAGAAATAACATAGTACCATATACCCTAAATTACGCTGAATTCCTGTAAAAGAAAGAAAAATGGAATCGGAAGGTCAGCCAAAAGACAGTTCCCAAACTGTATCAGATTCCCCTCAAGAAGGTGTTATTTCATCAAAGAGTGAATCAGAAAACCAAAGTGACAATGCCCCTGCCGTCTCAAGCTCAAGTGAAGGAGGGGCCACTTCGGCATCAACCATGGACCCTGCACATCTTCAATATGAAGGAGATGTTTGCATATATACAGACCCTGAAACTAAATATCAGTTCCAATGGGATGCTTCCTCAGAACAGTGGACACCAAGAGCACAGCAGCAAAAAAATCCTGAATCAGGCGATAAAGATATGAAGCCTCCAGGAGGTACTTGCAAAGTCTTTCTTTGTTTCTTTTTCATCTTTAAATATTTATTTTATTTTTACTCTTAAACTTTCAGATCAAAATTATGAATTTGATGGAGAGACATACATTTATACTGACGCTGCATCAGGTCTGCTTACAATTTTATTTGATTATATCTTTCAACTGAGTTGGTAGGTGTTTTTTTATATTTAATTTCTTGTAGGTATCAAATATAAATGGGACAAATCTAAAAATCAGTGGACCTCCGGAGCAAAGCAGAGGCTGGAGAAGCCTAAAGGGAAAAAAAAGACGGATGAAGATGACGTCGAGGAACATGACACTGATGAAGAAGAGGATAAAGCAAAGACGGTTGTTCGCCAGGATATGTCAAGTGGCCACTATGATTATGATGGCCAAAATCATACATACACTGACCCAAAAGATGGAGCAGTTTACTTTTGGGACCGAGATAAAAATGCCTGGTTTCCAAAAGTAAGAATTTTATTCATCCTCAAATTTTTAATCAGCCTTAGTTAATATGGTATATTGAACTCATCACTTCTGTTCTTTCTAGGTTGATGATGATTTCATGGCTCGCTATCAGATGAGTTATGGGTTTGTAGAAAATAAAACAGAAAGTACTGATAAAGAAGAGCAAAAAATTGATGAAAAACCTAAACCTGATGCTAAGCGCAAGGCTCCAGAACCCCCTCGTAAGAAAACTTTTTCATTTTTAAGTTTACTCTTACATTATCAGATATTCTTGGTAAATCTTTTGGTTTTTTTTTCCTTCTTTTGTGTAGAGTGGTTTGATCTTGATGGACGCAGTAACACCAAAGTGTATGTTAGCAATTTGCCCTTGGACATAACAGAACAAGAGTTTGTAGATCTGATGCAAAAATGTGGTCTTGTTATGAAAGATGCTGACACCAATAGGATGAAAGTTAAACTTTACCATGAGCCAGGAGACACTAAAATCTTAAAGGGGGATGCTCTCTGCACTTACATTAAGGTACGAAAAACAAATACATCTGGTACTGAAGCCAAACAACTTGCCAAATTCACTATGTGCTAATTGTTTTACAACACTTTTTATTTCCTCAATAGAGAGAATCAGTAGAACTAGCCCTTAAAATTCTAGATGGTTATGAAGTTAGAGGAAAGCAAATTAAAGTGGAGGTTGCAAAGTTTGAATTGAAAGGAGAGTATGATCCAACTAAGAAGCCTAAGAAAAAGCGTCGTAAGGACAAAGAAAAAATTAGGAAAGCTCAAGAAAAGTAGGTGTACCTAAGTAATCCAATGAGTTATTCTCTGGCACTAAGGTACTTCTCTCATTGATGACAATCACAAAATTTTGTATCTCTTGCAGGTTATTTGATTGGAGGCCAGATAAATTGAGAGGAGAACGATCCAAACATGAAAAAACAGTTATTATTAAAAACTTATTTGACCCTGAGATATTTGATACAGATGTTGGTCTTATTTTGGAATTTCAACAAGATTTACGTGAAGAGGCATCTAAGTGTGGGGTTGTGAAGAAAGTAATAATCTATGATGTGAGTTAAAAGCTTGACATTTCATAAAAATTTGTACGTAGATATATAGATAAAAAAATAATTCTAAGACTAATTAGTACAATGATACATAATGCTATACCGTAGTTATTTTTTATATTTTTTTGCCCCCTATACAGAGACATGTTGATGGTGTAGCTCAAATAAATTTTAAAGAGCCAGAAGAAGCAGATGCCTGTGTTCAGCTCTTTAATAATCGATGGTTTAATCAGAGGAGAATCACTGCTGAAACATGGGATGGGAAAACAAAATACAGGTAAGTTTGTGAACTTATGTACCCTGCCAAATCAACTAATTTTTTTTGTAGTGTCACCTTTGGCTTATATTTATGCTATGCTGAAATATTTTACATTGCAGGGTCGCAGAGACTCCTGAGGAAACTGAGGCTCGCTTGGCAAAATGGAGTAAATTCTTAGAGTCTGAGGAAGGCAAGAAATCCCAACTAATCGCCAATAATAATTCAGGAATGGATGTGGGTAGTGGTAATGATCAAGATTCTGATGATGAAGAAACACAGGAAAGTACAGTTAAGGAAGCAAAACCCAGCTCTTAGAGATCTCTTAATTGACCTTATCTAGGAAATACCTAATACTGACTTTCGCAACATTATTTGTTCTGTTGAATCAAAACACATCTATTTATTCTAATCGTCTTTCCATATCTTTTGAGCATTCCAGTAAACTTTGCCCTCTATTTAATTTTTATGTGTCTTGGCATTTGAGAGCTTAAAGATTTTGCTAATTTTGTGCATTTTATGAATTTTGTTGCATGTGCTATCACCCCATACATTATTTGTTATTGGTTTTTGATTTGTAATTGTTTCCATGTGTTTCTGTTGAATGCTGTACTGTTGATCTGTGAACAAATTAAAGAAGAAACTCAGCAAAAGAATTTCATTGGTCCCCATATTCTTCATTATTTTTTATCAAAAAAAAAGGGGGGCGTATTATAATGAATTGTAATGGTATTTCTCCTTTC